CTTTTATATATTTAATCAGCACAACCAGATGAAAAGAACACCCATATTACGATTACAAAACATCACCTCTAAAAAAAAATATTCGAAGGAAGTTCTCAATTTGGCCTAAGGGAGATTATTCCCATATCCCAAAATAATAATAATAACTTATACTTAACCCTAGCGCCAAGGTACGTCGATTCAAGTCACGCCACTGTTTCCGTACCCTCGTTCACTTTGGTTATGTTGTCTGTGTTTAGAAACGGTAATTAATACGGACATGTCTATATTCAGAAATACCCTAATGTAATACTCATGAACCCAGTAACGAACATAAATATCTTTACTAAAGTCATATATATAAATAAATTTCTTTAAAAACGTATCATTAGATCACTCACACATACCACGCCAGCTTAGGGTCAAAAAGTTAACATTCAATATTTTCTGTTTACTTAATTCCAAATGATTACGTTCTTGCGAAAATAACTTTAAGAAAAATCATCTGAAAGACAAGAATAATTTTAAAATTTTAAACACTAATAACGATGCGATTTATTGATGTTACCCACAGAAATAGTAATAATAAGAAAAATTATTACGATTTCAGTGATGTTACCAATCTTGAGCCAAACGTTGAGCATTGGTCGATTGCGATTAATTTTCTTAGAGGAGGCGAAGCTTTATAAAAGACTATTTTGATATTGAATCAGCAGTAGATATTGGTACCTGTAAGAATCAGCACTTGTAATTATCAGTACGCCATGTTCTTCGACCCTGCTAGAAATTTCACGATATTTCTTAAAACATAATAATAGTGATGTTCTCTAGACCGAATTTCAGTTACGGCGGTCAGTATTCACGGAGACTAGACAAATGCGCAGGGTAGGATTATGTTTATGAGTGTGAACGAAAGCTCAAGTTCACTCTCTATTCCCTAGCTCTCATAGTTAGATGGGACCGTATTTTGACGCGACTGGAAACATACTTTATGTAATTTGCTATATGTAATTTTCGAGGCACAGAGACGAAACACCGCAAACAACAATTTATACGTGGTAGAGCCATGCTGCAGTTATATTAGTAGTATAGTTGTAGCACGAATGAATCGGCTCGACCGGGGAAGAATCATGCTCTCACAGAGTACCAAGATTAAGTTAGAATTTCTTTGAGTATTTCTTGAAAATTTCTTGAAAATAGATTTTCAATAGATCAGCGAGACAAATGACAATGCAAGATACATTTATCTAATTAGATCTTTTGACGCTATTTGTAAAATGGCACGGTTTCAAGGAAGGGGGTTATTTAATAACAGTAAATTTTTTTGTCTATATCGGTGATTATGTCTGTGAGTTACTCGTCACTAACTAACATTATGTAACAAAATTTTAAATTGATTAAGTTACTGTCCATTACCACGAAGGCAAGGCTGTCATAGCCAACTCAACCTTAAAAATCTCTGCTCACTTGAATCTGAACAACATAAATATGTATATATTAAGGAAAAAAAATTATTTCGAAATATTAAAAGAAATCTTTTTAACGATATATATATTTTACGTTTCGATGGAGATGAGATCCTTTTTACGAACGAAGGCATCTGCACACGCTCCACCAGTTTATATTCGCTTTTTGACAAACAAGAAAAACAAAACCGTCGTCAACTTTTTATAATAGCTCACACAAATTTGACTATATAATTTTGTACTAATATACCACGTATGTAAGATTATATGATTTTAAAATATTTACCAGCTCACACTTCAAGATAGATTACTCCACGTTTCTACTATTATCGCGAAGCCAGTTCATAATAGGTATGAATATCATATTTTATTCATTTATTTAGTAAAAAACAAATATTATTTGACATCTGCTTTCAGCAGTTCTCATCACAAACTAAACAGAGAAACTCAAGCAGATGCTATAAAACATGAAAATTTATATATTCATAAATTTTATGTTACTTGGTTTATATATATTCATAAATATTAAAACACACAAACAAGCTTATCATAGTTACAAATATTATACTATCTTGCCAGTTTTTCTGCCCTTTTCGACGGCCCTTTATCATGTTCTATTAAAAATTCTTGAATTCGCAAAAAGAAAATTGTGGGTCACTCATAGGCAAAAAAACTGTGCTATCTCTCAAGTTGGACCAAACACACGGTGTCCTATTTTGATCAAAATCGGTTAAGTAGTTTAGAAGTCTATCGCAGACAAACAACGTGACACGTAATTTATATATATAAAGGTAAATACAATTATAAATATAATAAATTGCTACAGACAACTTACTTAATTATATTCTTGTGACATAAAATACTCATAATTAAACAATATATAATATTTACAAACATTTTAAACAACTTACCTATAAATGGCACATTATAAATAGTAAACAAAACAGAAATCTTCGAGAAATTTAGCAGCTGTAAGAAGAAAATGATACCATTTTAATACAGACAGCACCATAAGTCGGTTTCCTTATATGTGCAGGTAATTTATTCCAAAGCTTTGTGGCCTCAACGCTGAGACTGAAACATTAATTTATTACGGCATGGAAATACATACAATAAAGTAGTAGTGTTCGGACGTGCATGGATCGTATTGAATTGAAAATAGGGTGCAAATTCTGATACATCGACACTGATGCATAGGGATTACTATTTAAATTACGGTTACAGAATACGTGATCGTGTTTAAGTGGATGCAGTTATTGAACTGATCTAACTTACAAAATAGTCCTTGGTTTACATCAGGGTAACACACATCGTTATAATCAATGACTGTTAAAGTAAGTGTTAGCATTAACAATGCCTTAATCCTGCAGTATTCGCGCCTCTAAAGGTCACGTAAGTGGTCGCGCGGGATACACATGTAGTCCATTTAAAAAATTGAAATAAAAAATAAAATAAGCACAATTTTTTATTAATCAAATGAAAATACAATGACTACAGTTTCTTGACAAAATGAAATTAACAAAACCTAATCATAACCTCTGTGCTACTAATAATTAACAAAAACATTAAAAAAATATCTAAACTCGCACAAAAATCACATGAAACGCTCTAATAGAGATCACAAAATAAACTTTTTTAGGAAATAACTTCTAAATTATATTTTCCGCATAGGATAAACACAGAATCTTCAAATGATCCCCACAAACGAACTTGTTACACGCGGTGCACATCTTTCTGGTGCTTTTACTGCGCTCTCTTCTGCAGTCATGGCAATGGCACACAACATTACTAAATGTCGCTGTTGACGTAGTTGGTTGGGTTTTTGTGTCTATAATGCCAAGAAAATCTCTTGTTGAAAAAAATTGTTACCAAGAACCCTAAAAATCTTGATTTTTAATTTTTTATGATTGTTTTTTTTTTTTTTTTTTTTTTTGATGAAGGTTTCATCCACGACAGAGACAAGTCAATCAAGAAGTCACGTCGACAAATACTCTCATAGTGTTTTTCTGCTGTGTATACAGGCTGTTAGTGTAAACACCGTTATCCTTGAAAACAGTGGTTTGGTTTCACTTATAGAAAGTAAATTCAATGAAAATTAACAACATTTTTTTAGTAAAATCTCATTTTTTCCTCAATTTTTGCCTGTCCTAAGCCAGAATGAAAGTATGAAGGAAAAGTTACATCACAGGTTATGTATACCCATTGTATTTTTATTGGAATGTTGTGTAAGTAGCTAGCGCGAGCGGTGATCTTTACAGTGATTACGTCACTTGGGCGCATATCATCCATGAATTTACGGACGGTGTCGGACAGAAATTTATTAAATTTTATGAAATAAAATAGCGTTTTTTTTTTAATTTGTATAAATATTTTTATATTAAAGCCCACAACCTATGACAACAGTGTTTACACTTACACCTTATATACACAATGAGTTAGGTGCACACAAATTTAGCAAGTCAAAGAAAACCGTAAGAGGTCATCTTCTAGAGTTTCTTGAAACGTCATTCAATGAACACTTTTTATCCGCAAGGTCAACTCCGTTTTTGGACCTATTGTAATAAGTTATAACTTCTGGCTTTCGATTATCTCCAGAGTCAATATCAATTGTGGCATCGTTATGCATCGTTTACATCAATTACAATTTTATTGGGTTTTAACATGTACCATATTAGTGTGCATGGTAGGTGGAATCCAAATTTAGAAGAACATATTGGATTTCCTCTCGCGATACAAAATTCCCGAGGGATTTTTCATTTATCCTTTCGTACTGTGCCAACCATGATGGTTGTGCCGTTTTCAAAAAGCTGTTTTGCAACGCGAAGTGAAGGAAACCAATCATTCATGGAGATATTCGTATTTTCACCAAGCACAGGCTGTACCATTCTGATATAAATGTTGTGTCTTTCGTTGCTCAAGCAAAATGGACCGTCTGGTTCTTGGCCAGCATATATTTACAATTTGAACGTATAAGGATAGTGAACATCAACAAGGGAAAAAATGTTCACTCCATATTTTGCGGTTTGCTTGGAATATGTTACCTGAAAGAACAGCAGCCTTGAAAAGCTACCAGCTGTTCATCCAATTTATTTCAGCATTTGGAACAAAATACTTATAATAATTCACAAGCAGCAGTTCAAAAAAATCTTTAAATGGGGCTAGCTTATCAATGCTTGCACGAGATTGGCGGTCATAAATATCGTCAAAGCGTAAAATCCTTGTCAGGAATTTGAATCCTTGTTCAGGACATATTTAATGATATTGCGTCGATTCCTGTGTGTTTTATGTGATATTTGAGCAGTACTTGATCTTTTCCCAATTACTCCAGCCATTAGTAAAATTCCAATGTATTCTCTGATTTCAATCTCATTTGTCTGTCTAACATCTCGTTCTCTTACATATTTCTCCATGATACCGTCAATTTTCATCAGTGTATTTAGTAATAAGGCCGATTATATGATTATCAAAAAAAGCAACATACAGTTTTTAATACTTGTATTTTATCGAGCTGTTCCTTTAGGTCCAGGAGGCAAAAGTACTATATTGTGTCTTCGACTACAATGTATTGTCCAAACCGGAGTAAAAATCTGTGCCCCGGCATCGCTGAGGTGGCTCATCTTCATGAAAGCTTTCGTCTGACACCTCGCCTGGAAGTTCCTGCTCCTGCTCGGATTCCGACTGATGGTCCTGTTTTTCTAAATGATCAATTTCTTCGTCGGAGTTTGACTCAGCTTCATAAGTTTCGTTGTTGTCAACAACTTCAGCCAACCATGCTTCAAGCTGTGCAGCTCGTCGATTATCCATTTGTATCTTAAAAACATAAAGTTACGTTATATAATAACATCCCGAACCAATAAACAAAATTTTAATGAGGCATTTGAGTCAATTTTACTGTAAAATTGATAAAAATAATAATTCATTATGACAAAAATACTTATGTAATTGTTCATGCGGCCTACAATTGTAGTTCACGCACTTCACTGAGTTTCAGTGAGCCCGTGACACAACCGCGCGCGACTTGCTCTTGCGCTGCACCACAGAGTACATCACGAATACGCTGCACTGAGCGTATCTCTAGAACATTCATTTTTTTTGGATAGAGTGACAAACGAGCACACAGTCCACCTGATGGTAAGTGGTTGCTGCGGCCCATAGACATCTACATCTATCCGCGATTGCAAATCAAAATGCAGATGCGTTGTCACCCGTAATGACTAAGATGGAATGCCTCGTTTCCAGCAAAAGGGTCTTCGGTTCTCTACACTTACCATACGAAACACAGCAGCATTAAGCTTCTATTTTATGCTGGTATTCTGTGAGAGCGTGCTCCTCCCCTAGTCGAGTCGACCCATTCGTGGTACAACTATACTACTAATATAACTACAGCACGACTCTACCACGTATAAAATTCACTTTGATTTTTTTCACTTCATTTGGAAGTACTTGCGGTGCAAGACGCTATCCGATTTTTAGGGATTGTCTATTTTATAGGGGTAGGCTACAATATGTAGCCCGCACGACTAATCTAGGGATCATCTCATTTGTAAGGAGGAAATTCTTGAAACGAAAAGTGATTTTAGAAAAGAATAGAATGAAATATAATAACTTTTTATTCAATATAGATTGCAGATAATTTTTACTGAAAGTCAAGCATACTTATTTGGTCATTAATGATATTACCACTAGTTCGGAAAAAAACCTCTGTCCTAGGAAGAAACAGCAAGAAATAAAGCAGAATTTCTTTAAAAAAATACACAATTAAAAGAGGTTCTGAAAACTTCTTAGAGGCGATAATAGCCCCAGGGAATCAAAACATTCCCAGGGGCTATTATCAACCATGTATTAATTCAAATTATAATAAACCTTTTTATACAGTTTAGTAAAATATTTAAGCTTGATAATAGAGGCCTAGTATATTTTCTGGGACGGTATTATAAAAGCTTATAAATTGCCCCATGAATAAGTTATTGACTCTGTGTAGTTTATATTATTTCTAATGTTTTACAATGTATTCTTTCTTTTATTTTATATTAAAGCTACTTTTTTGGGAAAATTGATAAAATTTTCGTAAAAATCCTGAAAGACCAAACTAAATATAATTATATCTTTGAGGAACTCTTCCGGTTTCAGGTTATTAAAAGCTCTAATGGCCCTTTTATGGAAGACAAAAATAGTTTCTAAATCACTAGTATTTCAATCGCATAAATTTTCAACTAAAATTAGCATCGATCATTATCTAAGGTCTTGGTGTTTAGAACTAAGAGGAATAATTGTATTTTTGTATACAACAGATAGCAATGACAAAATCTATAATTTAATATATATGAAGGTCAATGGAAATCTGGTAATTTCCATTGATATATTAGTACGCTGGACTAGCTATACCCTACTTAATGTATGTATGTGCCGATTCGCAGCAGCGCCATTGAGTGTACTGGGAAGTAAATTTGTCATAATTTGCAATGGCTGTTGTCATGCTCAAAATTTCTAAGATTAATTTTTAAGTTTTAAACGAAAAAGATTAGGTGTTGTGTAGTGCGGTTACGTTTCAGGTTAATTATATACTAAAAAGTATTTTTAGTAACAATGATAATTCTATCTGTTTACAACAATGAAAGTCGCTGACAACTGATAATTTTCAAATATTTATAAATTTACAAGTTTTTAACTGACTCTATACTAAAACTGTGACTAAAAAGCATAAATATTTTTATTGGCGTCCGAAGCAAATTTATTATGACACCAATGATTTGTGGTATGGTATTCTTTAACGTAATTTAAATTTGTAAAATTGTAACTGAACATACCTTTAGATATTATTGAAATAGGCATAGTATTTTGGCAACTTATTGATTGTCTCGATTACGAGGACTAGATGAATGTTTAATAATAAATTCTTTACAAAATTATTTTTATTTTGTAGTTTACTAGCTAGTCTAGTTTTCGTACTCTTTGGATCTTTTTAAAACTCTAGAATGTACCATATATAGGGTACCCAATGGTGAAACCCCGAACAAAATTCGTTCAATAGTTACGAAGAAAACGTAAATAGACTAATGTAGCGTCGATTTTTGTTTTTATATAAGGTAAAAAGCTTATATCTAAAACTACATTTATTTATTGTATGGCATTATAGATGACATAAATATGATGGTAGGCTTAAGTATAGATGTTTTATTGTCTAAAACTACATTTATTTATTGTATGGCATTATATTAAGATGACATAAATATGATGGTAGGCTTAAGTATAGATGTTTTATTGATATACTTTGTCACACTGTCCTATCTCTGTTGTTAGTTCCATTGACGCTCACTTCTACTATTAGCAACAAAATTATGATTATATAATTGTTTTAATATTTCACAATGCAGTCCCATAGCCAGTGCAGTCCAGCAGAGTCACTATCAGTGCAGCTTAGCAAACTTTTACACTAGAGGTCACTGATAATTTGACTAGACAACGGATGCTACAGATAATTAATCTGATATCTGAGTTTATGTAGCAAGTGATAAAGTGCGTAATCCATGTTGTTAAACTGATGATTGCGCAAATGTCTACAGTAAGCGCTGAAATCAACCTTCAAATACTTCAGCTTTAAGAGTAATTTCCTCAAAATCTCCGGTCTTTTTTATTTCAATGCCAACTAAACTTCTTTTCTTCTGCATGACAAATACTCTTCCTATCACTTGAATTTGAAGTGTATGCAGCAGTATCAACAATACAGGATTCAAATAAATTGTGATTAGCATTAAGCCTCGTTTTGTCACTAAATACCACGCTTTCCTAGTACTCTATTTGTTTAGATACTCTTAAAAAGTTACGCCAGACTGGGTAATGCCTGTGCTTTTCATCAATATTTTTCTTCTATGCAATTTTCTAGATAAAAAATTCAATGCGTATTGTTACATTCGCCAGTGAAAATTGCTACCCATATCATAGGCTCAGTCGCAGAGCGAAACTGTCAACAATTATTTTATCGCGTTATCATCACTATACGCACCTTTCTCTTTTTTTCAGTGTTTAGGGCTAATATTGTGCGGTGCCACTATCATCATAAACTTTTTAAGTGATACTGTTGTCACTAAAACAACACTGATCTCTAAAGCTCCCGCAACACGTGAGCACTTTGCCTATCTCAAAAGTGGGCTAACTTTTGAGATAGACAGAGGTGGCCCACCATTTTTATTTTCTTTTTAAAGTAGTCACGCAGGGGTGTCACTAATTTATAGCGGTGGGTAGTAGCGGCTTCTTTGAGTAACGAAACGAATCTATCTATCGAATATCAATAGCGGCTTTTGAAACACTCTATTTTAATAGAGGGTTTGGAAACATTCTATTTTAATAGCGGCTTCAATAGAGTGTTTCACGACGTGTTCAATTGAAAACGTTGCGACCGTTGTTACCGTTTCGTATAGAATTAGACATGGTGTTAATGGTTAAATTTATTTATTTGTTAAATCAGTTCGCACGGTTTGATAAAAATATCACTTCGAAGTACACTGGCATTACTTCGAGACATTTTTGATAACAATCACATAAAGTTTTAGTATTATTTTTACACTTAGTTATTTACACTAATTACTGTACAATTATTATTATCAACACTAATATATACAATGATATTTAGTTTTTATTTTACTAAAAATATTATTATTGTTGCACAAAAAGGAAACAAACGCGCCTAAAAAGTAAAACAAACCGTGTCATTAAACTTAAACAAAAGACTAATGTAAACCGGGCCAAGGCCACTTAAATTATGGTATTTGAACTATTTTTTGTTAAAAACATGTACACTTACTTTCTCATTTCTAATATCGCATCTATACGAAGGAAATAGAGTCATAGGTCAAATGCAAAAGCACACGCGCTCACTCGACTTTCGACAACCGGTGGTACTTCTACCACAGCGTAAAAAGTCGGTTTTTTACTCATGTGCTTCTACTTCAACAGCCGAAGACGTCGCCGACGCGTCGCGAAAATAGCCGAATAAACGTTTTGTTAGTGATCGCTCGTTCGTGATTCGTGAAACGTGAATCGTGTTACTGAGTAAAACGTCTACTGTAATAGATAGTTTCGTTGCACTGCAATAACCCGCTACTCGCTATTGTGTGAATAGATAGTTTCAGTAACTAGTTACGTTTCGTAACGACCACTCCTACTAATTTACTCGTTCGAAAAGCACTGACAGAGACAGACGTCCCGTTGCAAGAGATACATGTGAACAAAATGATACCCACGGAATGATGTAAAGAAAGTTAATAATTTTACGCTGTCACTACTTGGCAAATCCGTATTATTAGTTGTAGTATAATTTTTCTTTGATTTTTAAAGTTTTTTGTTTAATAATATTAAACACATAAAATCGTACCATTTCTTATTTCACAGCAAAACATTCAATAATTAATCCTGCGATTGAATCAAAAATTAAATGTTACGATGCTTCAATCGCTAGTTCCATCCATCAAAAAACAAATTCCTGGTAGACAAAATATATTTACTCTATACATTTCACAAAAAGTTGACCGTTTTAAAAATTGCCCAACTAAATATCTTCTAATATTCTTTGAAACTTATTAATCGTAAAGCTGATATTATCTATCTTTACTAACCTTGCCTTAATTTAACCTATCGATGTATTTTAAGAAGTTATGTCAGGACACTTGTCTCGAAGTTTCTAAATTAATTACAGATATAATTACAAGTTAATTAAATGCAAACTATTTATAAAGGCTAATACCAATTTAGTTGATGTGATATGAAGTGATATTTTTATATACGTAATAATAAGCATACTAAAAGAA